GAAAAATGGCCTGAGACCCAAAAATAGAATCCCTCTTTCGCCTTCCTTTCACACCGATGCGAGTCTCTTCGTGCTGTCCTCTTCAATGCTCAAATCTCTCTGCTAAATGGTTAAAGGCTCGCAGCGAATGGTATGCTAGTCGGTGGGCGCACCGCGCCAATAGCGCCGCGAGGAGGGCCATGCTAGGTCGCCGGGTACATCCTCTGCTGCAAATTGCGTATCGGTCCGCATCCTTAGAGAGTTCGCCTATCTTTCCATTAGGTAGTTTCCCCTTTCCTACACCTTTGATCTTATCCTTGAGTCCTTCAAGTTAACTACAAGTGAAACAAACAACACTGCAAGATTCATATGTACTTGTGAAAATAGCAAGCTTTACCTCAGAAAACCACTTTCACTTCATACCACTTTCAAGGCTGTAGTCGTTTTTGCAAGTGGAAGCTCGAACAATGATTAAAGACTTTTTTGTTGAACGGCAACCATGAGCTCTTCTTCAGTAACTGCCTCTTGAGAAGCCTCCATATCCACATTTGATGGACTAATGGGAGGACTCCACATTAAGGTAGGAGGTAGGAAGTCCAGGAAGAAAAAACACCTGATGGAAAGGAAGGCGGGCTTCAGGGTGCGGGGCGACGCGCGTTTCGCTGCGGAGGCTCCCAGGGGAGACATTCAGTTCTCCTCCTGGGGTCAGTTCACCAGAGCTGCGCGATCATGAAGCCTAAGGTTAAGCTTGGGTTTAGGCTTAGGTTTAGGCTTATGCTTAAGCCTATGATTGGGCCTAGGCTTAGTCCTAAGCTTGCTTCGAGCAAATGAGTGGTGTCTCAATTTTAGGGACCTACCGAGGAGGAGAAGTGCAACGCATCCGCCCAGCCATCCACGGCATACTAGCCATGCTCGCGTCCGCGCTCCCACCCACGCGAATTGGTATCGGAGCACTTCAGCAGAGAGACAAGAGAGAAGCGCTACCGTGATTAGGCAGCATCGTGAGATTTTATCCACCTGGCAACCTCCTGGCAACGGAACGGCCCCAATTTAGCGTCCAGGCTGCTGCTCATCGATTTTCTTACATCCCCACAACCTAACGGTGAAACCTCAACCTACCTTAGTCCTAATGGGCTGCTAATCTAAACCCCGCCTCTAAGCACTGATTTATTTGGTAAAGTCGATCAGCACTGTAGAGTGGGAGCTTGAAGTTTCTCCAGTTTGTCCCAGAATCACTTATAGACCGAACGAGTAGATTCCTCACGCTTGGTTCAAAGCAAAAGTTCGAAGCAAACATAGTCAACAATTTCTACCTTGAGTTCTAACATTTTTGACATAGTAGGACATAGATGCCCTCCAGCATTAAGACGCTTTTTCGGCAATGCAAAAACAGTCTTAGCGCTACTTATGGTTAGTAGATAAGTGAAAAGCCGAAGTCTTTGACAAACAATAAAATATCTACAGCGACAAATAAACGCACCTTCAGTCACAAACAATCCTACAGAAAACGTCACAATACAAATGAAAATAAGCGAAATAACTTTGAGACTATTAGAAGCGCAATGAATTTTAAATTCTTAAACAGATGAAATAACTCTACCTGATATAGCCCTTCTTCTTGGCAATGAGTTGCTCTTATTGTCAAGTGTCCTCAATGGTCTCGGTAACACCGGCGAGCAAAGCGACCTTGACAAAGCTTCCTGATGTCGCGACATTGTGGAGTTGATCAGTCGGGGGTCAGTCAGTCGTTGAAGAGGGTCGACCATTCGTCCGAGCGGGTCATGCTGGGACCGAGCTGATAGTGGATCATGAAGCCGACTCATTGGATCTGGCGGTGGAACGGTCGTACAGGATCGTGGTAGTGTGTATGTTGGCGGCTGAAATTGGAAATCTGGGACAGTACTAATAAAAGAAGAAGTTTAGATGAGAGGGCAGCCCATCAAAAATCGAAGAGATGTGGTCAGTGACGCACGGAAGAAGAAAAACCAAGAAAAGCGGCCTAGAACCCGAGAAATGGGACCCTTTTTTGCCCGTTGATTTCCGCATTGATGCGACTCTCATCGGTGCTGCCCTCTTCAACGCTAACGCTCTCTCTGCATAACAGGCAAGAGTCTGACAGGGAGGGGTTACTCGGTGGGCATGCAGCGACGCGAGCGGGGCGGGTACAACCCTACTCGACCGCTGAGGGTACATCCTTCGCAGCGAAACGCATACCATCCCGCACCCCTAGTGGGCTGCCTGTGTTTCGACTATGTTTATTTTCACTCAACCTTTCACATGAGTCAGTGGCCACGCGACGGCTCCAACTTACCGGACGCAATTCATTGGCTCATTTGCATTTATTGCATCAATCTCAGATAAGCTCGAATAATTTCCACTAATTAACCACATGGCTTTAGCTTTTACCTCCACATAGGGCATACATCAGCTCGGTGCTTCGAACTGGCAAAAACAAGTCCACAGTCCGTTGAACCATCCGCAGAGGTTCCATCTATGGTATACGCCTCGCCTCATGACAGGTGATCACCAAAACAGATGGACAAAATAAGATCGAATTTCTGGCTGCGGTAGCAATATGTACTATAGGGGTAACCACGTGATAAGAGACACGCTGGTAAGATACAAACAAAATCTGTCTCGTATAACTTCGTATTGCTGTTGCTTGGATCATCCCTCTTTGCCTGGTTCAACCCCAATTTGAAGATGTCCCAATTCAATCATAGAGAAATAAGAAAAAAAAAACAAAAAAATACGTCACGATGAAAATTGCTCATACAACAACCAATACAATATAAATAAAAAATTTGGGCACTATTTACCCTTTACTGCCCCACTCCTCAAGAACTGAGCCGGATTTTGATCGAAATTCGTCCATGACTGTGGATTTTGGCTAGAAACTTGCCTTCAGGGGTAATTTGACCCGTAGATCACGAATATAATACCGGTTTAGAGCGAAACGCTTGGCGCCCGCGCTATCACAACAGTTTTGCGCGGGCGCTCGTAGCGCAGGCTACAGGTTCACTCGTAACAAACTGATGTGATAATCATATTCTACGGGTCAAAATACCTCTGAGGACAACTTTCCAGCGAATTTGGGGATCCGAGATGTTCTGGCGCCTTTTGGCGCCGGCGCTTCTGACGCGAGCGCCAGGCGTTCTAGCGGTAAACAAATGTGATATTCGTGTTCTACGGGTCGAATTACCCCCGAAGACAAGTTTCTGGCCAAATTCACAGTCAATGACCAATTTCGATAAAAATCCGGCTCAGTTCTCGAGGAGTGGGGCAGTAAAGGGTAAATAGTGCCTTAAAAACCCTATTTATGCAAGTGAAATTATACGAGTATCCTAGTTTCTCACCGCGAGTACTCCAGGTGCCGAGTTGAAGCTCTCAGTTCTTCGAACCGTTCCTGTTGGGTAGATCTTTGGAGGAGGTACCCGTGCCGTTCGAGATACTGTATCCAGCGGATCTGGATCAGAGAACCTAAAAGAAATACATAGATAATGCCCACCAGCACGAACGTATTCTATACATGCCGGAATAAATCAATATCACCTTTGATGTCTTTCTTGAAGTGGTTCCGCATGACCATTCAGTAGCCTTGGTGAGTAATGCGATCGGGGACTCCCTGGAACCGATACTCGGTTCATTTCCTGGAAAGGGAGTTGAATTGATGCTCATTCGCAGCTTTTTATACAACCAAAACAATTTTTATAGCAATTGTGGCATTTACCCAGTAAAAAATTCATTTAGATTAAACCAACAAAAGAAAGATTACTTACTGACTGTGATTGCAGAATATTGCAACAAGAAAGATTACTCAGAAAATAAGGTAAATAACCGAAAAAGGTGGCGAATGGCAAATATTCTAGAGGTTAAACTTGAAGACAAAAATCGCTACAAAACTGATATTCATGAAAAAAGGAGAGGGGTGCTGAAGAAGATACAAGAGGGCCCGACAGGTGGCGCTTTCGCGGCAGAAAGCGCGTTACGGATGACGAGATAAGGCGAAAAAGTGCCTCAGAACTTCACCGGTTCTCAAACACCCCACCGGCAGTTGAAAAGATGATAACAGCATTCAAGTTGAATGAAGCTGTTGCCGGCGTTTTCATGACGCTACTGTTTAACTTCATCCAAACGACATCTGATACTCAAATATTCAACTTCCAGATCGACGAGCGCAAAGGAGGTCCTGTTCCCCAGGTGTTTTCACCGCTTATCTTTTTTTCACAGAGGCACTGTTTGGCACCTTTGCTTTCCCATCTTCAACGGCATCGACTTATATCGAAAAATGATATCGGAAACTGCATTCAGCAATGTAGCTATTTATTTTCTAAGGGATGCTAAACAGAAATGCTTGTGAATCATTCAGCGACGTTAGGATTAATTGTGACAAGCTCAGGTTTAATGAATCCAACGCACAGAAATTCATAAAAAGAGATAACAAATGAAGCACGTTATGTTGATCAACACCTTCAGGATGCGCCGCGCAATTACTTTATGCTCAGAATCGTGGAAATACTGGAAGGGCAATTTGGTCGGATCTCTTGACGAAATACTCGCTACGAATGGACGAAAACTAACGACATGAAAAATGTGTTGGCCTAGCTAGAACCCAGCGGTGAGTACCAGGCGCCTGAGAAGTGTCAACTATATTTCCATACAAGGCTCGGGGAATCGAGTATGCTGGAACCGTTACGAAATTGCCTTCGATTTGCCGAAGGGTAATACCTCCAGCACGGACTACAATTTTGCTTGGAGGTCCTGTCAACAAATTCCTGGAAATAGCAGGTATCAGCCCAAAAGCTTGAGCAAAACTTGTTTAACTGGTCGACTGTTTTTATGCCTACTTATTATAGGATGACAAATACTATAACCGAGGAAAAAGCGCATTCAAAAATAACTTTGTCAGCGCTTCCAAAACTCGGACAGTTACAACAGCCAGAACAGCAAAGGAGCAGTTAAAGCTCTGAAAGTATATACGCCTCAGCCTTTGACCTGCGTACACGGACAATTGTGAGATAGCGAAGGGAGTGCGAGACGCGTGAATTATGTATGCCCGGATGTGAATGAAACAGCGACAAAATCGTTCGAGCGGAATTCTGAACGGTTCACCACATGACTACACCGAGGTGTGCACTTTGGTGAGCGGTCATTAAAGCGATTAATGAAAAAGAAATGAGGTGAAGCGCTCCGCAAGCGATTACCAACTAAATGCTTCGGGTAAAATCTTGCATGGAAAGCATCAAAAGTTGGTTTGCAAAACGCATCCACAATTCTTGGAGGTATACAGTCATGAACATCAAACATGACTGCATACCCACCATTAGTTAATTTCGAATAATATAATAATACAGTGAAAAATTGTGAAAGAAAGCTCTGGTTGGAAGAGGCGAGCAGTAGTCGAGCCACAGTCCCACTCAAAGGCGAAATAGACTGGAACAAATGTAACAATGGTGTGCTGAGGATACCATAAGAAAAGTCGAGGGAAAGTCTCATGAAAGAAGGGGATGATTTATACCAACACATTGACATAACGCGCGTCTGGACTTTGTTGGCGGCGCAGTTTTGTGAGCACGGTCGCCTCACCTCACTTTCAAGGTAAAACACAAAACGTGGATGGCAAATATAATAATTTCAACACCGTTCATCATGCCAAGTTATTCGGAAGTGCAACAGTAGAATTTTGCACAAAACGACGTCTCGTAGTAGTGAGAAAGCAAATTTTACTCAACTTCGCTCTGGTGAACGTCGAAAGTACTGGTGTACCAAGAAAATTGAGAAATCAGTCCATATGGAGCGCTTAATTGCAGCAAGAAAAAGGTGAAATCGATTATTCAGTACAGTGGCCCATTTACTGACTAGACGCTTAACATCCTACCAGTTGTAGATTTTTTCTGTGTTAGCCTGTAGCCGCCTAAAAGCATGGTAATTACAAGGGCATAGGTGGTTTGATGTGTTTGCTGGGACAGCTATGAGATGCCGAATCATTCCAGCTACTCCAGTGTTGCTCACACGTCATCTGGTCGGGCATGGTCCACCACTGTGAAACTTCCTTTGGAAATGGTGCGTGTGGAGGCTCTCGCACTCAGTCATGAAGTATTCTCCTCAACGTTTCTTAGCAGTTACAGCTGGTGCATCCTTGCTGGGGAGAGGGGGGGGGGGGGGAGTGCGTCGCATTAAGGGAGCTGTGGCTTCACTTCAAATGCTAGCGTGGCGATTTCCATCGGTTTGATGATAGCCACCTTTCTACATGGGTAATAATTGAATTTTTCTGACTCTAGTACTTTTTCCAGTCGTTGCTTACAGTCAAAGGGTGCCACTCGACAGTCGAAAAGGGCCAAGAACTAGAGAGGTCGCCTAGTAACCTCAGGGAGTGCTGCGCGACGATGATGACGACAACTTCTTCCGGTTCTTTTCATCACCCGCGAACGTTGAGCAGAATTGCTTCGATTGAAGACTAGAAAATCTCGCTAAATGTAGCGGAAGAACGATGTCCACCCCAAAAAGTGAACTCTTGACCAAATCCAAGACTCTAATTCCAGACTTGAACGGCACAGTGTCATAATGGTAATAGTGAAGCACAGGCGTCAGCAGTCGTGTAAGTCGCCAAGTTCAATCCATGCCAATAGCGAAGTAAGTACCACTCTTTTGTTCTTTTCCCAGCATTTCTTGTCGTTTGTCACAGTCATTTATTTTATGGACTTTATTGACAGAATATAGCTCAGTTCGAGAGTGCAAAGGAGCTATAATAGGCGATCATTCAAGGTTGGAACAGAATCGATAAAGAAAAGCCTTGGAACCTAGTTCTTATTATGCCACAGAGGCTCCGTGATGTCGCGCTTGAACAAGGAAGTCGTAGACTATTGCAATCTCATGCGCGACCTTAGCTTGAATGTATTACGTATTTTTTCAGGATGAGCTTTTATGTAACGATGTAAAACCAAGAAAAAACTATTATGAAAAAAGTCTAGTAAATTGATGGTGCTGCCAAAGTTCTTACACGGGAGTTGTTCGTGGCAAGGAATTTGTTGATAACACTAGAAAAATTTCCAAATGGCTACTAATACTGGAAAGGCAAATTTTGAAGGGGAGGATATATTTACGAACGCACTATATAACGGTGCCACTTTAGAGTCAGCAAAAAGTACGAGATTGCATATGTAAAATACACATTCTAAGCTAGTGCTATTCCAAAAGGAAGTTGAACGCTTGGCGTATCTAGGAAAAGATCCGAATCAAGAAGAAACATTCGAAATCTTAGCTCTGTTTGCAACTTCAGAACAGCTAGACAAAAACACGTCTTCAGTTTCCAATAAAAACGATTTTATCATATATGCCCTACACCCCTCAAACCTGTCACTATAGCAGATAAAGATGAGCGCAACCGTAACCAAAGGCATAGGTTCACGAATTTCATTAAAAGAAAGACAAATGGCAAGAAAAAGGAAAGGAAGCGAAATGAACCAAAAGTCCTCACTGAACCAGTTTTCCTGAGAAAATACCAGCAAAACCTTACAAAACAGAAACTCTTTCTCACATTATTCTAGACAAAGCAAAGTCTCGTGGTGAGAATCGATTCAGCGGAGGCCGGACGGCATGAGTGCAAGGTTTTTCTGCTGTGCAGGACATTTCTAGAGAGCGATTGGCTAGCAATAACACTTTATTTCAGCTGAAACTCTAGAACTGCGATGTGGTTAAGCGAGCAAGGACTCGTCTAAACGGCTTTCGAAGTTATATGGATAACTGGGGTGGAGAAACAAGAGTCAGAGAGGCGGCGACGGCTGACAAAGGTGCGCGAGGCCATAAAAGGGTGATGTGGCGTTGCAGCTTAAAAACAAGCTCTGCATATGATTACTGAGCATATAAAAGGTGAACAAGAAGCAAATGAAGCGACCCTAAAAACCGAAACATTCCAGGGAGTGAAATGCTGAAAGAAAACACAGACATCGCCCAATGATTCAAAGAACTGTGAAGAACAGAAGACATTTGGTATGGATAAGTCCTGCTTCTAGAGCCCTCCTTCTGTGCGATCGCTTTTGTGAAAACCGATGAAAAGGAGCAAGAAAATCCCTTTCAGAACTGGCGCTTGGAGGAATATTATTATGCGAGAAAATACATTTTTATCGAGACTTGGTAGGTGAAAACCCAGTTGGAGGGACTACTCCATTGTGTCCTACAATATTTATAATGAAATCATTTAAAGTGTACTTCTGATAAGTACCGGTGTAGTGTAGGATACTCCCGAGGTGCTTCCACTATTCGGCCTGCAATGGTCCAAGAAACGGTCCTGAACTAGGGAAATGGAAAGCCTTGTCTCGGCCTGAGGGTGAAGGAGCTCCAGGGTGGATGACCTGGTGCAGAAAATTGGATAGGACGCGGGCAGGTGTGGAATGTAGGACAATCACCGGTCCATATTGAAAAGTGAGCTTCAAATAATTCGTTCACATTATCTTACCTTTAGTCTTAGGGCCGTATGCTATCCTTCATAAGGGTAGAGGGACGAAAATCCCTTTAAATTTTCTCTGTCTTCCCAACTGGGATTGCCCTGATAAAGGGCCTACATTTAATGTATGTATGTAGGTAAAAGTAAACATGCACTGAAAATGAAGAAACTATATCGTTCAAAACAAATAAATTTAAAGGAAACTTTGGATCCCCTTGCTTCGGGGAAGGATAGCATACGGCCCTTAGAGAGAGCCCAAAGGAGTGCACTCCTAGGACTAAGGATAAAATATCAAGGAGTGGCCCCTAACCGGATTTTTACCGACTTCGTCTGCAGACATATTTAAGAGGGCTGAAAGAAGTCTATAGACACTGTTCACAGAAAAGAAACCATTTTTGGCCCGACTAGGCCAAGTCTTCTTGACATTTACCGAACTGCGCCAAAATGCCACCAAACGACATTGAATTTCATATCCGTGATCAGGGCACTGAATGAGTTACAAAGATTGGATAAAAGTAGGTGTTACACATCCTTGGTGTAAGATAGCACCAAGTAGGCGACAGCGCCAAAAATGACCAAAAGCGTTATCACGACGCCAAATTACTACAAATAAGCGAATTCTCAACAAATTATGAGATTTCGAGATCGTAATAGTCGAATAGAGCCCGAAACGAGAACACATAAGACGCATGGAATAACATGCTATAATTGGCTTTGTTTCGTTCAATTGACTGTTACAATTACTCGCGTTCGAGATGTGAATGTGTTCAAAGGAGGCTCGCTTCGGGCGAGACATTTTCAGCAGGACTCGAACTTACTTAAAGGCAAAAGTCGGGCTCAATAAGGGGGTATTATGGCGATTGAAACTGAGTATAGAGATGCGAAGTGGAACGACAGTGGAGAAAAAACTGAAAAAAACCGTCGACAAGGCCGAAAACGAAACCCCTTTCCCACTAGCAGTGAAGGAGGCTGGCTTGGGGAAGAGGCACGTACAAACAAGTTTTCTGGAGATGTCAGTCGTTCTATCGGTTGATACGGCAATCAACCTAGCTGATTTGTTATGCCAGCCACGCACCACATCCCAAGGTGGGCGGTCGTAGCGGGGCCAGGCGGCGATAGCGCATAGTACATGCCCTGGGGCCTTATTACTGCGCCGTTTCGGATTTTGAGTGTGGGAACATCTCTACGGGTGCGTAACCAAGTACAGGCATGACCGAAAGGGTTGGTTTGGTCAACTAATCCCGACCTTTGCCTTTAATACTTACACTCGGAAAGCTACGAAACGTTCACTAACGTAGAAAAATGTAAAAAAATTTAGAAGCAGAAAGTATATTCCGATCAATACGATGGAGGTTTGTCATGACAATATACAGGCAGCTCAGACACTTTCTCTTGAATATTAGCAGCTGCTCACCATCAGAAGATTTCCAAGATGTCGTTTTCAAAGGGATTGCTAGTACAACGTGCACTTTTCAAGATGCTGTTAGCAAGACATATAATGTTCTTCGGAAAAACATGCGGTTGTTCATTTTTGTTGGAAGATTTATTACTGGTCCCAACGAGATTTACAATAAATTGCATCCCATGAACCATATCTTTCAGAGCCCTATCTTTGGCTTACATAAATGCTGCTGTGGGGTGCCTTACCTATCTCAAACATTTTTTTCTAGATTTGTTTTTTTTTGAAAAACGCTGCAACAGCTTCCATGAGCTTCAAAGTATACGCTACCTCTCTGAAAAATGTTATCCGATATGATAATCAAAATACACAGCTTTGCATAATTATAAGCCCACTTGGAAAGTTTTTGAAATTTGTTAGAAACTTTCTGATGAAGGCTCTTTAGAAAAATATGCTCAGTGCAACTAGTTTTGAATTATCACCAAACACCATTTCAAATACAACAAATT